CAGCCTTGAAGAATAATCTATGCGAAATTCCGTAAGCATAGCTTGTCAAATAAGAAGGTTGTTCATACCAGGACTTCATTTTTATCCAACAGTTTGTATGACAGGTATATGTTAAAGTGGTCCGACCTAAACCATTTCTTCGTAGAATGTAGCTCAGCCTTGAAGAATAATCTATACGAAATTCCGTAAGCATAGTTTGTCAAATAAGAAGGTTGTTCTTACAAGAACTTCATTTTGACCGATAAGTTTACGTGGCAGCTATATGCTATAGTGATCCAATATGAACAATTTTTTCGGATACTATAACGCTGGGTAGGAGAATAATATGTATGTGCAAAATTTTGGAGCATATCTCGTCAAATAAGAATGTTGTTCATACAAGCACTTCATTTTGACCGATCAGTTTATATGGCAGATATATGCTATAGTGGTCCGATCTGAGCATTTTCAACGGAGACTGTAACTCTGCCTTGGTGAATAATCTTTGCCAAATTTCGTGAATATGTCATGTCGAATAAAAAAGTTTTCCACACAAGTACTTCWTTTTGACTGATTAGTTTCTATGGAATGGCAGCTATGGTATAGCCTTTAGCAAGCGTGACCAATTTTTAATTTTGGCTTGGAAAATGAAGACCGCCTTGGATTACTAAACTTTTTTAGTTCGTTAAAGTTTGAATGTGAGGAACTTGAAACTTAATRCTGAATATATGTAGATTGTTGCCAAACACAAGAAGAGTTCGCAGAATCAATAGGAGTCACTTAAGAACTTAAGTATTCCAAAATAAAGTAGCTCGATACATTCAAAAACAAAGAAATTAAGTGCCAGAAGAATTTAAAACAAAATGCTGCTTGAAGTCTACAAAAAGTAGTATTTTTTTGGATTCTGACTAACAAAGAAAAATGAATCCATTTGGAGAACGCTAAATGCAAAAAATCACATTTCAAAGCTGGTCAATCAGTCAAAACAATGAGAAGCTCTAATAGCTACATATGAGGCCCCGCTCTTTATTGAGTCGGATCAAAAGGCCTTGCTGTATTATGAGTTTCTAAAATCACGTGAAACCATTAAATCAACAAATTGAAACGAACAGTAGCCGAAAACCGCCGGGAACTCGCGACTTTTTACGAGGCAGTAATTTTTTTTATCAGAACAATGATAAATGGAAAACGGTGGCTATACAGTTTTGCCTCACCTGTCTTTTCAACCAGGCCCTTCTGACTACCGACAGTCATTGCAAAACGCCGTTAAAAGCATACAATATCATCTCTGTTTAGGATTTCATTCGACCAAGTGCTGTTTTGTGTTGTAACAACCACAAAAATGAAATAACGATAACCGCCTTCAACACACAAACGCATTCGGACGAATTTTGTATGAGTTCCACCTGCTAACTCAGCAGCCCAAAAACCAGAAGTTGCCCGTACAGCAAAAGCAGATTCTCTTCCTTCCAAATAATAACTTATTGGGCACTTTTAAATTTTATATATAAATATGTATGTATTTAAGTACATAAATTACAATTACTCCGACAATTTCATTAAGTTTTGAATAATTACGTTAATTTTGGAAGTCATAATGCAAACATACATACAAATACATAAATGTTTATACATATGTATTTAATAGCATCTTTGAAAGTCGCTTTACAAATGACAAACTTTATGTAAATACATACATATATACTTAAATACATGTATGTACATATAAACAGAATATTCATAAGCACAAACAATTCCAGAGGCACTTTCGTTAAACAGCGCCCATTTATACAGACGAAAAGTACAAATGTGTTTGTATGTATGTATATGTTATATTATAGAGGCGTACAACAAAAATACACTCCACTTTAAAGTGGATTTTGTTAAAGAAATTACACCCGACCGCACAAAACAACCCACAATTATAAATAAAAATAAAGACATATACATAAACATACACATATACGCATATACATACATCTATACAATTAAAATTATGTGTCCAAATGCACAGATGTGTACACATTTGTATAGCACAGTGTCTGCCTGCCACTTTGGTGCAGAACGCACTCGAATAACCCGGGCGTGAGTTCAAGTAAAAACAATTATGAATTGTAATTTTAGTAAATACGCAAAGCAACGCAAAACCACTAAAAATATGCTGGAGATGATGAGATGAGCAAGGCGCACAGTGRAACTGCTGCTTGTGCAGTGGTTCTCTAATTGGGCGCTGCGGCGCTTCTCTACTCCACGACGATAGTTTTATGCTGTGGCAAGAACCAAAACCAACAACAAGCGTAAGTGCAGGTTGTCTGCAGGTGATGTGGTGAGCTTTTTTCTCCAAAACTTGCGGATAATTTTGCAAAAGTCGTTAAACTATCACTTTTCGGCATGAAATAATAATATTATATTTGTTTACAGCTTTGATCGGTGATATACGAGAAACATCCTTTGCAGGTGTCGCAAAAACCATTAAGTTATAAATTTGTCAGAAGCTTGAGCCTTGTGGAAAACCAAAGTATTTTAACTGCGTAAATAATATAGAGAAGGTGAAAAATAAACCTGATAACAAATAAAAACGTTGGAAACCCAATAAAGTACATAACATACATATATAAATCAGCGTGATGAGCTAAATCGAATTAGCCATTTCTGCCCAACTGTATATACGCGAACTAGTCCCTCAGTTTTTGGGATATCGATATGAAATTTTGCAATCATCCCTTCCTTCACAAGAACRAAGTCAAAATCAAAATCGTCGTTATCAAACTACTATAGCATATCTTCGAAAAAATTGTTCAGATCAAACCACTATAGCATATAGCTGGCAAACAAACTGATCGATCAAAATCAAATTCATAGGGATCTTTATATTATTAGTGACAAGTTGTTTTTTTTTCTTGTAGTGGCTAAATTCTGCCAAGTTGACAGACCACAGTCGGATAAAAATCCGGGTCTGTTTTGGTTTCATAGACCCGACTGTCGTGCGAACGATGAAAGGTATTAAACTGCGGTGCAGTCTTTGTAACTGAAACAAACTTCATTGCAACATAAAAAATAAACTAAATATACTTATACTACTTGTAMATACTACTATTTAAAATATTACCAACATTTTAATTATATTTCCCTATAATTTGCTAATTATCAAACTAGCTTAATTGTTTTTAACAAACTTTTTCTTAGAAACAAAATTTGGGTCAGATTTCGATTTTATGAAATAAATACGTAAAAATTTCACAATTTTCAATTTCACGCTGCTTTGTGTCACGGCTGCCAACAACTCAACCCTCTATCTGCGATCACATACATAAATGTATAAACATTAATACAACCGGCGCTATTTTACAAGTCATTTGGTTGGCCGAGTGAACGCGCACCAGCTGCCCTCAACGGCGATCCGCCGTCAAAGAAATTTAAGATGAGGGTGTTGGTGCAACTGACAAATTCCCTTTGTACGCACGCAAAAACAACAATAATAAATCGCATTTACACCAGCATCAAACATAGCATCATTGCAAATATATGTATGTATTAGCACGCACGATTTTCTAATCCTCCCTCGCGCATCCAATGCTGAATTCCACTCCCTACCCATTAAATTTGTGTGAAATGTGCAGATTGAAGCAACAAAGCAAATACTCTGTACCGCTGTTGGACACAACACAAACGCCCATCGGCTAATACGATATTTGCAGATTTACGTAGCGACAGCTGACTATGCACTCCAATAACTTTGCAGCGTCAGATTGTGGGTGATGATGAGGAAGAATGTTGTTGCCTCTTACTTAACTCGTTTGGTAATTGTCATACGSCTAAAACACTTCACTCCCGGCCATTATTGCTTGCTGCCACTTTTGCATGCCTCAAATTCAATTTACTTATCCCCGCAGACAGAGCAAAGCAAAAATCGATTTTCCTGCCACTATACTCTGGACTGAAGCTGTATTTTTTTGGGGGTAAAATACATGGACTTGGATCAACCTCCTTACCTAGTCAAAACATCAAAGGTATCACGAATTTACAATTGGGGAAATCATTTGTGTGTATGTATGTATAGGAAAAAAAAATTGCTTGTACGGAAATGAAGTTCAACATATGTACATACATACATACATTTTCACTTATATGCAGACTCAATCGATTATGTAGTATATTCGCAAATACATTTATACTTAGCTATGTACAGTGACTTGTAAAGGTTTTTGTACTGGTGCTTACCTTTCGTAATGCAATTATAATCCAGGCCTATGCAAAGGCCGCAACCGTTCTTTTGCTAGTCGTACTTTTCATTTCATTCACTTCAACTTCAAATAACTAATAAATTAGTTATTATTTTTAATATACTTAATGTAGGTATATAAAACCGAGAAAAGGTTAGTAAAATATTTGTTAAAAAACTTTTTTTATAACTATTTATTACGTGAAAACTTTAATTCCCAGCTTTGAGTGCAACTCTCGGGTTGTATAAAAAATCTTCAATTCACACAATTTATACACTATTTAGAATTTCACTGGTCATTTGAATTATAATTCACTATTATGTACTTTTATTTTACATTTTCTTTATTTTCCGATTTTTCAGTACACATAATTCACTAAAGCCTATAAAACTAGTTAGCTTTATTGTTGGAGCACAGCTCGCACTTGAATGAACATAAAACGTCGGCGGTAAAAACGAATACCGTGCAAGAGAGTACTGTGGGCTAAAATAAGCAAAGCAGCTGCGCAAGGTACAACGCCACACATGACAGCTGTCAGTGGTGGTTTTGTTTTCGCTACATCTTACCATTGAATTAAAGTCACCATATCTTTATATTACGATCTACAAAAATTTWAAATGATCGCAGTTCTAAATTGTTTTTGTATGATTCTACTAGTTGCAATTAATAGGTTCCAGAGGCATAAACTTAGTAAAGTTTTTTTTAAATTATGTCCCTTTGCTTGAAATTACTTATAATAGATTTTTAATAACTAATTATTCATCAGCTACATGGCAGCATAAGCCCACACTGAACATACCAGCAAACAAACAGCTGACTTTTTACTTATAGGAATCCAATATCAACTGCTCACATAATCCTTATTTTGATTTGCTATTAGTTCAATTCACCTTAGAAATGTCGTTCCTAAATATATTAAACCGGTATGTAAAAATATATCTATTATTGGATACGGTAAAAATATATTATAATTTACAGGTCATTCCTTGGAGCTGTCAATTTCGCGCAAACTATAGTAAGTCGAGATGCACATGTATTCAATCGGACTATACTGAAGACTAAACTCCGTTGCCACTTTCCCAAACCACGCGAGGTGAAACGCATTAACGTTCATGGTTGGGAAAAGCGTATGTCAACCCCAGAGGGACGTCGAGTGTTAATGCGTCGGATACTTAAAGGAAGACATGTACTATCGCATTAATAATATAGTTCATTGATAGTGCAAGTAAAAACCAAACAAAATTAATACAAGAAGCCGRTTGTGTAACGCACTCTATGTTTTACTCATCGAGTCATTAAATACAATTAACAGAAAATACATTAAATGTAATTATTACACTAATCGTTRAGTACGTTTTTATGTTTTCCCGTCAGAAATTGTACTGGTCGACGATAAATTTGTTTAATCGATCTGGAAGTATTTGYATCAGCAGTATTGTAAAGATAGGCCGCCATATTAGAAACTTTTGGCCCTTGATTTGTGAACAACGATGTCGGTAATGGCATTTCACCCAAGGCTAAGCAATTGACTGTGCTTAGTTTGTCGTAAGACATTGCCGGTAACAAATATAATTTTTTTAAGTCAAYAGCACGCACAATGCCTACAAATACATATATTAAATTTATATAACAAAAAGTTTGAAAGAAATTAATACACACCAATGCCAAAACATTCGAGTGGTCCGCTATTTTCATCTTCCTTCCGACACAAGTAAACCAAATTAGCCTCCAAAGCGTGTAGCAGCTCTTCGTGTGTGGATTTATTGGAAACCAAATTCACCAGGTGTAGTTTATCAATAAAAACACTAAAAAAAAAATGTTCTCTTATGAAATTTTAATTAGTGTTTATAAATTGTTTTTTTTACCCAAAAGGCACACAATCCGCCAGCCACTCAGCACTACCTTGCAATACTTCGCTCAGTCGTGATAAAAACGTGGCATAGCGCAAATCCTTAGCACCCATTTCCCATTCACGTTGATAGCGACTTTCTTGCWGCACAGCCGAAGATAATACATGTAGGCGATACTCTAGCTTTGGAGAWTCACTCTTTTCCGCTTTGAATTCGTCCTGCGTGTAAATTGTACGATCTAACCTAGCTAGCGCATGCGAATGCAATAATATATCAAAATTATTAATTTCTCGGTTGCTTTGCAATTGCACCACATCGGTGGGTCTTATTAGTTGCGTAATAAGGTGCAYCACTTCCAAGCCAAATCCTTTATTATAACCCATTGTATTAATCAGCCACGGCATCTSCGCGAATTCCGTGTTTGAATGACAGTACTCAATGAGTTGTTTAACGGCACGCATATACGCTTGAGCGCAAAGTATTATGTTGCTGTGTCCAACAGCGTACGCACGTGTAGGTTGGTGGTTAAGAAAGAAACCAGGTCCTAATAACGGCTGTGTTAAAACTGTGCAAGAAACAGTTTGTGGTGTGAAAAGTTCCGCTTGCCCAATATCGAGGTCAATGACAAGCACACGTTCCCTACGCTCCAAATGACGGTTTAAAAGATAACGTAGAAGCGTCGACTTTCCCACCGATTTGCCACCGGCGAGTAGAACTTTCGATCGTTTTGTAAAGTATAATTCACGCCACTCCCTAGGTATACGCAAAGACCTTTCAGTGTTTATGTTTAATACGCAATCCAGCGAATATTCACTGGCATAGAGCGGTCGATCTGGTAGTATGGAATTCATGTTGGGAAAAACATTTTCATTCATATATTTTTTGAAAATATTTTTCAGTTTTTTTCGACGATTATTACGTTTCAACAGCAGCAATGCATCGCTGCCGCTTTCAAAAGCTTTCTCTATACGCTCCAAATCAACTGAACTAAATGCTGATCGCAGAGGATCTATTGAAATTTCAAGTTCTTTATTTATTGTTGAGGGATCGGATGGAAYGCTGGTTATGTCAACGCTACAGCAACCACGTGGTGAAAATATCTCTATCTCTTCAGCAAGGCGCGGTTTATAGCCGTATATTTCTACTTTGCCGGCTAGTAGCGTAAGAGAAATTGTTCCATATAAATAGATAGGTTCTTTCACCAACGCAAGCACAAGATTCGAATTGACAGCGTTTATAAAAATTGAGCTAAAAGTGCTTTGCTCCTGTCCATTGTTTATGATTTCATCTATATWAAAATTTGTAGTTATTTCATCATTAATATTTGCACTTGTGTCCATTTCCTGGTTTACGGGTTCAACCTCTTCAGCAACGCCATCCTCGTTTATGTGTTGAGTGGGCAAATCAACATTATCACTTACAGTTTCCTCTGCAGCCACTATTTTGGTATCGTCATTTACGGTCTGTGTGAGCAAATCGACACTGGCATTTTTAAGTTCTTTCTCAGAAACTTCCTGAGKAACTACTTCATCACGATTCGTTTCGACAGTTTCTTCCACTGGTTCTGGCGTTGTTGTTCTCTCACATATACTAACCGTAATAAAAGTCCCTTTATCACTAAATTTTTGTATCTTTTCGGCTGTGAGTAGATCAAAAATTGGTCGTTCAATTTCAACTTCATCTGAACTAATCACACTTTGATTACTTTCTTGTGGAAYGCAGTTTTCTACATTAACGATACCTATATTGAAACTTGGTTTTCGTTTCTTAATTTGTATACTATCTTYACTATCACAATCGCTATCGCAAACATTTCCGCTTGAAGTATATTTCAAGTTTATATCCTCTTCAGGTATAGAGCTTTCGTCACTTAATTCTTCATACGAACTGAAATCACTCTCTGAGTTGTACAGCTGAAAACCATCTTCATCAACAATGGGTACCAGTTGTGGGCAGTCGCTTTCATTTACGACTTTTTCTTTCAAATTATCCGTTAAGAGTGGTTGTGCTTTATTCGCTGGTACAAATTGCAGGTTTAATTTATGTAACTCAGTTTTGGCATATGCATCCGGTTGTTTTATTTCATTAATTTTACTTTCTACAACCAATTCAACGACCTGCGGCTCATCGTTTTCACTATCGAAATCTACATTATGCTCTTTTCCTAAATCATGTTTCTGTGCAGTACCTGTGGTCATATAAAAATTATATAGTAAATATATTTGTAAAATAAATACTGTCACTCACCTCTGTGTATGACTAGATCTTCTGCAACATTTCGTGGCAGTTCATAATCTGGATCAGGTCCCGAAAATACATCAGAGTCATAATCGTAACTCTCATTTTCACTTTCAGTGWATTTAGAATCAGAATCGTCATACTCATAGTCATCAAAATAGTGCTCATTTTCATCAGATTCGGAATAGTCATCAGAATCATCAGTATAACTGTCATATTGATCATGAGATCCATTATCATCTTCAAAACTATAATCCTCATCGGAATCATAATAATCCTCACTATCTTCGCTACCCGAAGTTTCCACATTATTACTTCCGTTGTGATGCACCAAAGGCAAATCAATTTTTGACTTTTTATTCACAACTTTTGCTTTTTTGTTGTCTTTGGTCGTTTTCGTACCTTTACCATTAATTTTTGTATTTAATTGAACTTCTACGATTTTACCTCTGCCAAGTGTTTTTACATTTTTGTTTTGCTTATTTGGTGGGTTGCTGGATTTATTTTTCTTCTTGGTAGCATCATTTTGWTGAAGCTTYCTTTTCCTACTATTATTTTTTGTCTTTGCTTCAGTTGGATTACTTTTTGGTTTACCCATTGTTATGGGAATCGGTTTCGTCTTTAACGCCTCTTTATAAGCATTGTCCTTTTTTGTTGGSAACGGCTTCGTCTTCAACTGARCTTTTTGAACATTGCTAATTTTTTTAGGAAACGATTTTGTCTTTACTGCCGCTTTATAAGAATTGTCCATTTTTGTTGGTAGCGGCTTCGTCTTCAACTGATCTTTATGAGCATTGCCCATTTTTGTAGGAAGCGGTTTCGTTTCTAACTGAGCATTSCCATTGACTTGATTAACTTTGACATTACCCTTCTTAAACAGCTTTGTAAGCCGCTGACGCAGCTTATCACGTTTATCATTATTCTTTTCAGTTTTCATTATAATAACTTATTTTTTTAGACGCAAATGTTATTCTCAAATCAACTGTTAAAAACGTGCAAACGAAAAACCAAAACAAATCGCACGTTCCATTGTGCTGCGGTGTTGCCATATCTTTCTTTCTTTATGGGGGAATATAGCTTATTACGGTGACTATAGCTTATATTGTATTGTGAGAGATTTACAAATGTGTTTAAAAATTCATTAAAAAAATTAGTGTATGCCTTTTCAATCTACTAACGTGCAAATATCGAAATTGGATTTTAAACTACGTTTAGTACCGAAAATTAGAAATTTTGTGACGTCATCAATGCTAGCGCTTAATAACTCCGTAGATGTAGGATATCTTCTTCCCGCAAAGGACTTGCCATAAAAATAAACATATAGAAATTGTTATTTAAACCGTTTTTTAATATTTCCTATTGCAATATTTTTATAGTGTAACCTAACCTCAAAGTTTGAGTGTTAAAATGAGTTCTGTCATCCATGTAAGTGAGTGAAACAAACACAATTCTATTTCGCAATATTCTAATTTTATTTATAATGGTATTAGGAGACATAAAGTATAATATTATTTACGTTTTTGATTTTTAAACATTTGCTTTCATCAATAATTTAATTAAATAAATCAAMTATTTAATATAAATTGATATTATTTGTATAAAATAAAGCATAATTGTACACGGTACACAGGAAAATAAAAAACATAACAACAACAACTACATATTAATGTTTATATATCTTTTTCTTTGACTTTTGTTGAGAATTTAAATATTTATGTACAAATTGTTTTCCGCCTCTTGAGATTAATGTAATATTTATTTCACAAAACAATAGCTGGATACAATCAATTAATACATTGTGTTTACGTAGAAACAAATACACACAGGTTTACTCAAATTAAACTTATTTCTACAAACAAAAAACCAAAACAAAAAAAAATACAATAAATATACTTTTAAATAATTCACTCAACAACAAAGGAACTTACAGTTTCAATTTCTTGTGTAGTTAATATGGTATAGCTGACCATTTCAAATCTGATATAATCTTGTGAGTTTTTATGCTATAATTTTTTTTATTGGAACATGTTACCCGAGTGTTTGTGTAATGTTTGTGCTTGTAAAAGTAATATTATTCACCCAGGTACAATAAGATGTACATATACATATTTACAAATTTCATAAATAAAGCAACAACAAAAAAATTAATATTTATTACATATTATCTAACAATAAAAAATAATAAATATATTAAAGCTTTTCAAATTAATTGCTATAACTAATATATATGTGTTTCAACTATATTTATATAGTACGACTCATTTTGAATTCACAATTCAAAATAAACTGTTTATGTTGAGTACACTTTACATGTAAAATTTCAACTAGATAACACATCTGTAACAATTTTTTTAATAGTAGTACAATATGTAGGGGGAAATTTTCGCAGACTGATAGTACGATTTTCAACAAATCCTTATAATTCTAATATGGCCCGTATAGAATTCGCGCTGAATGGCGCATTCAATAGTTAGTTAGTTACGTTTATTTATCACTTTTTGGGATAAAAGTCTTAGAGCTTTCAAGTGGTAGTATTTGCATAAAATTAACAAGTTCTATTTAAATTAACTAGTTGATTATTGTTTTTTTTTTTTACTTAACATATTCACTATTTTTGTATATTGTATTAAGTCATCTAATTGTATTACGGAAGTATCGTAAATATGTATAATTATTAAAGATTCATTAATAATTGAGTAAAATTTTAAGAATTTGTATTTGTTTCCTTCTTGTATAATATTTATAATTTATTAGTTGTCATGTTGCATGCTCTAGCATTCATTATATACTGCATTTATATTATATATGCATGTACATATATACGTTTACATGTGCAAAACATGTAGTACATATTATATTATACACATTCATACGTATTTGTTGGACAGGTTGAATAGTTTATTGCTGTTTTTAGAGAGATTTTTGAAAAAATATGCACTTTTCAGTTTTATATGTGAATAAATTCTTTAAATATTTCCCTTTTTACTTTTTAACACTCAAAACTATCACACGAGCTTTCGACACGATTTTCTTATTGAAATAAAAACAAAACCTATAAAGAAAATCACTATGACTTTTTCTCTGCCTTGCTATTTTGACATTTGAGCAAACGGTTATAAAAATTCTGTCACTAACTAAAAATGTTAAATAGTTCCAAATTAATCTTGCATAGAAAAAATAAATAAATTACATTTTTTTTGGAAATGTATAAAATAAATTAAGAAAATATATATTAGGTCGTAGCTTGGCTAACTAATGCAACTTTAAGCGCTTACTTACACACGAGATGTCACATACCTTATTGGAACTGGCAAAGAAATTATAGATTGATTTGAGCAGTAGGAAATTTTGTTGATATAAATGCTTTTGTTTTTGTTAGATGAAAATGAAAAGTATATGTTCTCAGAATCTCCGCCGATTAGTTGTGTGCGTTTCTAATTATACCAATTTGATTTTACACTTTAATGCGCGCATTTCGCTGGTGTTCTGCATATGCATAGGCCTAATTAAGATTTCTGCGGCGCCGAAAGACCAGAGCGAATATTGAGCGTATGCGCCACCAGCGGCTGCGACGACGAGAATGTAGCTTTTCCGAACTTGTGCCACTGCCATGTGCCTGCAGCGTTAAAAAAACATTCATAATATGAAATAAAATTTAATTTACATTTAATAAACATTTCGCTTACCTCTTTGCGACGTATTTCTCGTACGAGCGTGTAGAATGGTTCATCAATGCAATGTCGCTCACATGCGGACGTCTCAAARAACGGACAACCAAATTGATTTGCCAAATTTTTGCCCTCTTCAGTGCTTACCTATTTGAAAGCAATTTATTCATATTTTTAAGCTTGTACGGTGATAGAAATGACAGAAATTTACCTTTCTTGCTAAAACCAAATCGATTTTGTTTGCAATTAGTACCAATGGTATGTCTTCGGATAGTCGTACGCGTTGTATTAGTTTACGATACTCTGACGCCTCTTGAAAACTATGCCGGTCCGTCACTGAGTAACATATTATGAAACCTTCACCACAACGCATATACTGATCTCGCATGGCCGTAAACTCAACCTGGCCAGCAGTGTCGAGTATGTCCAGCAACGCGGCATCGCCATCAATCACTGCTTGTTGTTGATAGGAATCCTCTGCAAATAATTATTTCAAATGAGATATTTTTTTTTTTTTTTTACTTTTATTACAAGTACTATATTACCGATAGTTGGATCGTGGTAGTCCGTGAAGCTATGACTTACGAATTGCAAGGTAACTGCTAAAATGGGGAAAAAAAGAATTTAATTAAATTCTGTTTTATTCAAATTGAGACTGCTAATTTACCTGATTTACCAACCCCACCATCTCCAAGTATTACAATCTTGTAGACACGCAGTTCGTGTGGCGTATTTCGTTTCTCTGGCATTTTTCCACAGGGTTATTCCTTTGGTTGGGCGAGTAATTTTAGATCTTAAACATTGCAGCCATGGCGATTATTTTAAAAGTTTTCCGGTTCCTAATTTATTTGCTCTACGAAAAAATATAATATTAGTCTTAATACACAGTGCATTACATTACTGACTACTCCGTCCGGTATTAGGTATGTATACTACTCAGTGTTCACATAATAAACACAACTTTTGAAAATGTTGTTGTTAAATTAGTTTATAATTCAAGTTTCTAAAACAAATCAAAAGCATGTTGAAGTACAAGTGTACAAACAAGTAAAACTTTAACTTTTTTAAATTATTTTTCTTTTGTATATCACTTCACTGTTTACCTGGATTTTTTCGCAGCTCCAACCAACTAAAACCACCGACTATTAAACAAATTAGGAATTAGACATTTAATTGTCCATAACCATTTTCGTATTTGCACGCAATTAATTTCAATAACAATATGACGAAATATAATTTATTTATGCTTGTAATGCCAAATTTTAAAATCAATTTAGGTGCGACATTTTCATAATGATTCGATTTTTCAACTTTTCATGTGTATTTAGTGGCATTATGTACTGTCAACAATGACAGCTGAAGCAAAAACAATAACATTGCAGTTTGTATATATGTAAATRCATATTTGTATTTACAACGAACACAGAGTGGTTCTTCATCAGCTGGTTTTGTGACTACGATTAGAAAGGCTTATTTCACCATACTAAAACCAATTAGATTTATTGGTGTTCGCATTATACATCTTTAAGTATCAGTTCTTGAAGGAAAAATACAAGTTTCTTATTAGAACGTTTTTAATATATTCACATTCTCCCAATAAGMGCAGATGATGGTAAGCCTTTGGTGATTTCATATATTATATATTTATACCAGGTAATGAATTTTTGCCTATGTTTTGTACATTATTTGATTGAAGATACTTGAATCGACTTCCTGAAGATGTATTAGAGCGTTATTAACATTTAAAAATGGTCTCTCCAAGTTAAAAAATTCTGGGTATGGTGAATTACAACTGAAATCGATATAATTTGAAGACTCTGATATATCGATAATACTTGAAGGTCAATTCGATTTCAAATACATGTYTCATCCTAGTARACAAAATTACRCTTAAGCAKATAATAGTTTTAAAAATGTATATACATAGTGTATTTTTGAATAAAACAAGGTATTCCCTCGAGATATATGACCTGTAAATTGTAAATTATGGATGGAAAGAAAGTTTCAACACACCATATAAGACAGAATTATTGCAGGAATCGTTTAGAATACCGAAGAGGTCGGCGGTTAAGAGCTGTTAAGGTATAACACTGACTTTATACAATTATTCTGATTATCTATATTTTATTTTTTTTTTTCAAAATCAACAGGYCTACACTGTAGCAAATGAATCAAAACACCTTCTAGTATTTGGGGTGCCCAGGATTAATTTAAAACAAGAGATCAAGTGTAAACTCAAACGCTGTGGAAATATTGAATTCCTACAATGTGTTACAGAGGAGATGGCAATAAAAGGTTATCTAAAAAGAGGGGATATGCAAAATATGTTATTAATTGTTTGCTTTACTTTATAGTGGAGTTGGAAGCCTTTACTGACGTGTACCACGTAAAATTTACAAAAGTGCAGACAGCGCGCTTTGCTAAGCGGTATTTAGATGCACAAGAATTTTATGGCGGTATACTTCATATATCGTATGCTCCGGAGTACGAAACCACGAATGAACTTCGAGAAAAACTCTTACAGAGAAAAGCTGAAATTAAACACCGGCAACAAGTCAACGAAAAAGTGGCAATAATAATGTCAACTGATGCTCAGTGTAGTGAACCGTTAGATAAGAAGAGAAAGGAGCCTTAAGAAACTGGCAATTGCCTGGTATAAACGTAAAATAGAAATACTATATAACTAAGACTAACAAATAGYCGAGCGATTTGGAAATATAAGATTTGCTTTTATTTGTTTTTGCCTCATGAAAAAACGTTATCGATTTAAATACATAAGTATGCATAAAAATATGTGTTGTTTTCACTACTTAATAATAATAATTTACTGAACTACGCATTTAAAATTATTACTGACCACACTTTTATGTGTTTTAACTAGTCTTGAATTTAACAGAAAAGCTTTTGTTTTAAAACTGCTATTTAGTTTTGCGCAAATCATGATACATTGTCAGAAACGGTATCCGCTTCTGCCATAATTCGGTACCGAAGTAAACCCAGAAACTGTAAAAAATGTAAATATAAGTTAAATTCCGCATTGAAACATAAGTATTGCGTTTTAATAACTTACAGTCCAAAAAGAGCACCACCTAAATGGGCGGCATGATCAAAGAACTTCCAGCCTAATATGCAGCCAGCCAGATCAAATCCCATTATAACTTTAATGGCCTTTGTAGTAAATAAAAATAAGATTAATTTAGATAAAGCCATTCAGCATTAAAACTTACCGCTCCCGCCGAAAAATTCAGCATAGGCAGGAATAAGATGCTTAGCTGCGTGTCTGGATATTTAGCACAAACATAAGCCAAAATMGCCATTATCGCGCCGGACTGAAGTATTGAATAAATAATAAATATAAAATTCTATAAATTACAAACTTTTATAAACAAAAAAAAGTTACCGCGCCTATTGAAAGTCCTGGCTTAGAAGTCACCGTTTTATAGATAATACTTGACAGGCTGGCAATCACACCCGCACTCAAATATACACCTAAAAACTGTTCTTTTCCCAAAGACAAAACGCCTGCGTTGGAAAAGCTGTGCAAAACATACATGTTGGCGAATAAATGGAACAWTGAGTAGTGGCTGAAAGTCGATAGGAACATTGGCCAACAAACGGCACCTGAAAAATATATTTGAAATAAATTTTAACACTTTAGTAAAATCTTGAATAAACCTACGTCCTGCAGGATTCGAACAAAAATAAGTCATCATAGTGTTACGCAATGATGGTACACGCCAAAGTCCAAATACTATTACATTCAATGCACAAAGTGGCACAAACACCCGTTCACCGGGTGTAAGTTTATCCCAATGTTGTTTCACTTCCTGCTTTACTTCTTGCCACACGTTTCTATCCTGGCTGACGTTTTGTCTTCGTAGCCAAGGAAATTTACTTTGACGTGCCTTTTCTATCATCATATTACGTGTGTTCTCATATTCCAGTATAGTTACACCCATGAAGCAACCAACACTGAACTGGAGAAGGTAAAAAATTATTCTTTAACATGTTTACAATTTCCACATAATTATTTAATAATACCGCGCCCGTGAATACAAGAGCCTTCACTACGTTACTTGGCGGCACAGCTCCACCTAAAGTATAATTTTCGAATGGTGGCGATGTTTGTAGGCTGCCGCTACGTGGTGGACGCTGATGKCGTGGACTGCTACGCATCGAACGCAATATTATTGTATGAGGTCGCAACAATTTACTACTGTAACTGGGCAATAATGGTTCGCTGTTTTTTCAAGCATTCTTTGTTAATAAACATTGGCGTGCATRAAATCTTGAAATACTCACGCAATTTGTCGGGTCCAGCTGCGACATAAGGCTCTATGTAGAAGCATGTTTTATTTTGAGACTTCTACAACAATTTTTCTTGATAAAATGCAATGTTTCGCAACTTTAACATGCCCCCATTGAATTAAAAACAGCTGTTAATTCCAGTTTGTTTTCATTTTTAATTTGACAGCAGCAAACAGCTGACATCCGATTTCTAATTCGAATAGATTCCAAATACCCTCGGAGAAAAAATTATTTMAAAATAATTTAAATAAAATATAACAACACAACATACGTATATGATACATATATTATAAATATACATATATTGTGGTCATCAGATCTAGAAAAGGATACTCTTAATTTAAATACTAAAGATGCGACGGTTTCAGTTAGATTTCGGGAAAACTTGTAATAAGCTAGCGAACAGTTAGTTATACATTTCAACCACAAATACACCTTCTGCAGATTAATTAGATAATAATGTAATTTATTTCATATAACGATTAAAATTAGTTATTCACTATTTTTAAACAATGTCCTTTAAAAATATTTCCAGTTATAACGATAAGTCGACGAATTTTTAGCATCTCTAATAAAAAGGTAAATGTGAACTCGCAAAYCAAAGACGCCGGTCAAGGAGTGTTTACAAAAAAGTGACGAAGGAGTTGTGCAARAGTATTCGTATAAAACACGTGCATATCAAAAATATGGTTTTGGCAAAAGTGCCAATTACTCCTCAATGGAATTTAACAAACGGTAAATATGTAAATTGTGCTTAAWTGGTCGTGGTATTAATATTTATATTTTCTTAACGAAGGATGTGTTTGCACACCGGATGGTGGCTTCCTTTATGTAGGTTCACGCAGTATTAACTATATCGGTCCAATTCAACAAGTTGATGTCGCAGACGATGAAAATRAACCACCAGTCATTAAAGTTTTCCATACACGTCAAAGTATATTGAGTATAGATGTAGATCCCGGTTGGTCAATAAGCGCTACAGCAGCAGTTAAAGCTTCCGAAAATACAACTGAAGTGGCAAAAACTGCGACCACTAACAATCAGCAAAAGTATTTTGCCGCCTTGGCACAAGATAATTCCGTACAGATTTGGGATTTCGATCGTGGTTGTGCGGTGAGTGGACATAAGGCACACTTTAGCACTGCGTTGTACATGGACGGCAATGGACCATCGCCGCAAGGTGATCATGTACTCTTAAGTTATATGCGCAATCGCAATGTGTTGTCGGTTAATGCACAGGATATTGTGGTGTATTGTGTGGCGTCTAATACTTATTGTCGTCGACCAATGTTTATTTCAAGCAGAAATCAAACACTAACGGTGCTGCGCTGCTCGCCACACAATGAACATATCTTTGCTGTGGGTACCAATCGTGGTTTGGTTGTAATTGGTGACCTACAGAGCATGAGCACATTATATATGTTGCGTGGACATGAGGCTGCAATAACTTCACTATCATGGTGTCCACAAAATGTGCCACCATTTAAACAACAAAAATGTACGCTCAAAGACGAAAATCACATAGCGAACACCAATGCAGAGAAAACTTTGGTTGAGGAATCCCAACAGATAATTGAGGATGCAAAGCAAATAAATGCTGCAGAAAAACGAAATTCTAAAACGCAAAATAATGCTAAAAAATCGATTATGCCCATCGGCAATGATGACATGTTCGACATCTATGACTACGACTATTTGGAAAATGAGTTTGGCGCACCAACAGAAACGGAAAAGAAATTGAAAGAAACTGATGAAAAAATTGTTACTGAGAAATCTGTTGAATGTGGTACAACAACAAATTTCGATTTTGTCGAAGCATGTCAAAGTCTTAAAGGCGAAATTGATGCTTTAAAGCAGGAGCAAGATTACGGAGATGGTGATACCAAACAATTGCCCGATGTCACGCTGGCCGATTGTCAAAAGGTGGCTTGTGCAGAAAATTTATCTTCAAGCTGCGGTGACGATAGCGCTGAGTCAACTGAAGGTAGCTTAGATTTAGCTGAGCGCTCATCGGACGACGAAGTTTGCATCGATGGTGGGGAGTTACACCCAAAACAACAAATACTTCATCAAGTAGAAGTGCACGCAGAGCAATCCAACGATTTGGAAAAGAAAGAAGTTGAAGAGAAGTCGGATCTAGTAACTACTAAGCCTGTAACAGTCGTGAATATTGTTGAAAATGCAGATAAAAACACAACTAAAGCAGTTGAAGTAAAARTTGATGACAATCGCACGGCGACTTCAGAAAGTAATTCAGAACAACCATCTATTGACGGAGTGGTATCTCAAGACAATTCAAACACTGCCGAAAAKAGAGACCAGCGACCGTCATTGTTAGCGTCCGCTAGCGTTGATGGCAGTTTTTGGATTTGGAATGCAAACACCGGCGCAAGTTGTGATCGCTTGCGTGCTATAAACGCAGGCAAACATGGCAAAAGTAAGTGTTATAATTATAATTATTAAATAATAGAAAARGTAACAAAATAGAACAAAATTCAATTTCACGTTAGACACCAGCATACAAATTGACTGGCTGAGCTCAACCGAATTCCTCACCACAAATAAAACTGGTGAACTGTCACTTTGGTCAATGGCACAAGATACACCGATTACTGCCACAAATCCACAACATCAACGTTACAAGTTCAAAGCAGACACCAAAAAATTGTTTCTTCAACGCAGCGTCATGTCCTTCAGCAATTCGCATGCACATAGTTTGCTCTGGTGCTTGTCATCGCATCGTGAAATAAGTTGCGAAAATTTGCAGACTGAAAAATTATTGCTCAAATATTGCTGTGCTTCCACGAATGTTTCGGCGATGCGTGAGTGCCCGGATGACATGAATAAGTAATTAATGGCATATTTAGTAATTTGTAGACAAGTATTTAATGGCAACGCTTTTGTTATTATTGTTTTATAGAATCGCTTTGGCGTTATCCGATCGTCGTGTTGGTATCATTGACATATCCAAGATGTCTGCCACTAATGTGCTCATCGAGAATTTCATACCGCGCATCGATGCTTCTGTGCTGGCGCTTGTTTGGAGTCCGGATAGTAAGCGCTTGGCATTTGGCACGCTAGAAGGCAGGGTGAGTGGCATTTATGGCAACTTTTTTATGTTTCTCAGATTAATTCAGTAATTTATAGGTATATTACTATATATATAAATTAGTGATGTTTATTTTCAATTTGAAATTGTGTTATTTATTTATATTTTATGCTGCGCAAATGTTTTGAAAGGGGTTATTATTTGTAATGGTAATCGATATTTTAAAATAAATTTCAAAATTAAAATATAAAATTAACCTTAGTTTTTTCCAAATTTATAACAATTTTTTTTACATATATTATATATGTACTGATGATTTTTTTTTTTTTCTGGTTCATACGTATTTATTTTAAAGAAATAGTTTTTTTTAATTTTTCATATATTTTGGTCTTAAATTAAATTTTTGCAATGATTTTATAAA